GTAATTGCTCGCAAAATCCCGGAGGCTTGGCTTTTAGTGTAACCGAAGAGAGAAGAAGAGAAATGCGGGATGGTGGAGAGCTGAGATGCTACTACTGAGTGTACTCCTGAAACTACAAAGTACGTACAAACGGCCTCAGGCTCGATATCTTCTTACTTATTCATCCGCGTTTCACCTTAGCAATCGAAAATTACGTCGAGAGAACCAAGACGTGTATCAGCTCTGAGAAATGAGAGATACGAGCCTAAGGATTTTGGTACATTCTCGATGAAATCCGCTGTTAAGAACCAAGCAAAGCTTTCAGCGCTTGAAATCTGATTTCCTCAATACAAAGACACCACTTCGACCCCTTTCACATTTATTATACAGACATTTATTGCTTCTATATTCTCTATATTTACTTATTATCTGGTATTTGAACTTATCTTCGTTTTATCGCTTGCTCTTACCAACTACTTCTTCAATATTAAATATCAATAATCTTCTAAAAAATTTTATAAATACAATTATTCTTATTTTTTTAATTTAAAATTATTCTATCAACTAATTTTTATTATAACAAAAGAAAATAAATAAACGAAAAATAAAATCATTTATTGATTGCTTACAATTCTTTGTTAGTATTTTTTGGAGTTAATCCATTATTTAAAAGTTTATTATCGTTTGTGATCCAATTTATCACAGCTTGATAAATCGTATCAAGTTTACAATAATGTAATGAAATTCACTGGTATTATTTCGACCCTTGATAAAACCATTGAAGACAAAAAATCTGAATTTTTTCTTGTCGTCTTACCCATTCGTCAATATCCAATATAATTCGCAGTGTACTACGGAATTGTCCAGTCCCCTATTGAGTCATTTACGGAAATACACCCTCAATTTATCTTGTTTTTTCTTCTGTAGTACAAAATCAAATATACGTGAATTAAATTAGAAAAAATAGCATCCGCCTATAGACATTGCAAATAAATTCTGAACTCCTTCAATTAGTCAAGAGGCTACATTCTTCTATACAATCACCAAAAAATTCACTAAACTCATTCATAATTTATTACATTATTATTATGATTATTATTGTTATTATTATCGCTGTTAGCATTGTAATAAAAATCCTCATATTCTTTAATGTTACGATAATTGCACTGACAATAACGTTGCCAAAGTGATCATCACCATTAATGGATCCATAATTCAAATGAAAAATTATATAGAAAGAAAAGTGCACAGATTATAATAATTTTTCTTTACATAAGTAATAATAATAGTAATCATAAAAATAACTATAATAATAAAGTATTTTATATAAAACGATTTTATGTAGATAACTGATTCAAAGTCTCTGTGGATAATTTGGAAATGTATATACGATATATACAGAAAGTAAACGTAGCGTGAACAAAATAAGCTCAAGGGTAAATGTGAAGATAAAAAACAATGAAAAAATTTGACATGCGGAAATGGGCACTTTTTCCCAGAAATATTATGTCGAAAAGAAAAAAAAAAGCCAGAAGCTAAAAAAAAAAAGAAAAATTCGCCCCCGAGTCTGTCTTTCCTTTCATAGTCTTACATCCCAATAACTTTAACGTTATTTCAGGTTCAGATTTGCCTGAAATTTGTTTCTTGCCGGTACCAGAAGCCCATAAATATGTAATACCTCTCATATCCTTGACTTGGTCTCTTTTTCTTCTTCATTCTTGTGCAAAGCCTTATGTGTGCAGTTTATAAATGTGTATAGTAGGTGAGGTTGTAGCTAAAGGCGATGTTTGGGATATCAAAAAAGGGGTGGGAAGCGTGGTAAATCATTTGTCTCGAAAGAAAACACAATGCAATATCACAAGGATGGGGGATGCAAGACTATAACTCGCTTTCTCTCTTATTTCCCGACAATGCTACGACACAAGCGAATTGCGAAAACCATAAGTCAGCGTTATATTGCCGAAAATACTTTAAAGTGCTACTCAACTACTTCATATAACTATACAACGTATAAAGCTATGTGTAAGTGTATATCCTAGTATTCTTGTGTATAAATTCTGACACATGCTCAAAAGACATTACTTTCTATGATCTTTCTCTCTCTCGTTTCTGTAGGAATGACGATATTTTATCGCTAGGAAATGCTTTTCAGATTAAATCAAGCGGATATTATACGTATAAACGAATCTTGTGATGACATAAAAGGGATAATTGAATTTTTTCTTTCATAAAATATTAACTTTTTAAAAAAAAATGTATACATATTGCCATGAAAGTAATAAGTTACTATTGAATGTAAAGTGGAAGAGAAAAAAATTTTTTTTTCAAAAGTAGGTTAGTTGGATTTTACTCCCCTTTCTACTTACCAACGAGCGTGACTCATTGAAATCCTGAAAAGACACTTTGTGCAGTACGTTTCTATTATAAACAACTGAAGAGTTTCAATTAAAAATTCCACAGTCTTGTCGCTGTGGGATGCTACAAATCTACTAGCAAAGAGTGACTAAGTGTCATTGGAAACTAGAGCAAACCTTGAACATACTCAAGAAAAATTCAAATATGCTGAGAGTATCCTTTGCGACGATGGGAGCTTTAACAATACCATTTTATTTTTCACTTTTGTGTACACTGTTTCATAAATGATTGCAGTTCTTGTAACAGGAAACAAAATATATATATTTCTGTGAACTATTGTATAGAGAAAAAAAAACATATGATAAACCATGGTATATTTCACCAAAAACAGCCTAAAATAATGTCCAACTGAATCGAACAAAAGCATGAAATATTATCCCAAAAATACTACTCCTGATACGACTATACAACACGTCTGTAATTCATGATATATTTCCGTTTCTAACATAAAAAACCTACACCTTAAGATATACAATCTTACAACACTGCTTAGAATTATTTACTCACCAACTTCCTTACAATAAATTTCAAGACCTTACTTACAATCAATAATTATTCAAAAAAAGAAACAAGCTCACAATATAAATAACTATTCTATACACTTGAATATTCAATCAAATATTAACTTGAAAAAGTTAAAACTTTACTCAAATAATTAATTTCAAAAAAGAATTTAAATTAAATAAGATTAGATTACTGGAATGATTTAAAATTTATAACTACTGGGGAAAATCACTGAGCCAATTAAGAAACTAAAATTCAAATAAAATAATAAAATAAATCTTCTATGAAATAATGGCTGCTAAACCAGATTCGTATATAGAGTAGTAATGAAGAATTTGAATATTTTAACATCATGTCATTATTTTCTTAAGAATATATATGAGGGCTGGTCACGACTCATTAATACAAGAGAAAGAGATTAAGGTCATTTCCTCTTGCCATTTACACCGGTCGCATGGAATTAATTATCCAGTAGCGAGACAAAGATCTCTGTTGGATGAGACACAGGCAATATCTCGCAGTATAGTCTCCAGACTGAGAGTAATCTGCATTTCTTCAATATAAATTTTATATCATTTTCTTTTATAGTATAATGCTAGTCTAAAAGTGATGTTGAAGTTGAACCATAGTGACATTACTACCCTCTCTGATAATTAAAAATGATATTTACATTTTTACATTTTCAGATAATTTTTCACTTTCTCCAACAAGTGATTTCATTTCTTTTTATCTTTCTATGCACACAAAGAAAGCGTCAATCTAAAACAATGTAATAATTTAAAAAGCCATACAAATGACAATAGCTTTTCCATATACATATAAAATAACAACAACCTGTTTGTGAAATAACAATAAAAAAATAAAGTCGTAAATTGTTTATCTTTCTTTCACTCGTAAATGATAATATATAACATAACAGTAACTGACTCGGCAGTTATATGAAAGTATATTTATTTTTTATGTATAATTTTAGAAGATAGATATATAAAAAGATTCAAGTATGAATCATGGTATTAAAGGGTTTATAAGGTAATAAACAAAGGGATGGACTAAGGTTTTCATGAGGTCAAACCACTCGATCTCTTTTTACTCTCGTGTGTCTCGACAAACTGGCAGTTACCTTAGATGACGTGCAAGTACTCTTGTGGCCGTAGCAAGTAGATAGTTGGTCTTTAGTCAGACATACAATGTCTAGGTTTACGAGCCCTCCTATTACGCCCACCTATATTCTGGTCTTATGAGAAACCAAGGCACTCAAATTTTATCATGTTATTTTGTTAATGCACATTTCCTTTACGAAAGTAATGCATGCAAAGAAAAATGGTTGTGAGACAAAAATATGGGCCATGAAATATTTTATTTTCCCTCGCTTCTTTTAGATTCATCGTCTTGAACGCCAAGACAACAGTGTTCGTATTTGTGTTGTTTTTTTATTTTTATTCCTGTGTACTAAAGATATTCTCAAGGCGTTGGTAGTTTTAGTACTTTTTTCTATTTAGTTAAATGTTATGTACGCGAAGAAATATTCGATGTAAAACGACAGGAATACTTTGGTGATCTTGGCCATTTAATACAGGGGGTAAGTGTGGTAGGACAAAAAGTTAATAAAGCCAGTAGTATATATGGTTGAGATAAGGTATCTGATAAGGTCAAAACGTGCGGCAAAATGGGAATTTCGCGATGGAAACAACGTAGTAAGAAGTTCTCTCACGTATCTAATTTTTGCGATCGTAAAAGAGAGCATTATTTACACGAATTACCGCAAACACTGGGCCAACTTAAATTTAAGAACACTCGTATTACTGCTCTGAACATTGGTCGAGCTATTTTGAAATGGTTCATCGGTTAACCACACACTTTACGACTGTGTCCTTAAATCTCTCTTTCATTACTCTTTTTACTCTCCTTATTTCAACATAAGTTTTTAAAATCGCTTCATATTGTTTAACTTTAACGACACCAACAGTCATTTATCATTACTAAAATATCATTTTACCCAATTTTATTGTCCCTGTGCTAAGTATGGTAGGTGTTAAAAGTGTTCGGAATGATTTAAAAAACTTTGTGACGGGTAATATAATATTTCAGGGTAAGTCTTTGTGTGTGATTATAGCAGTGCTTTTTTATTAACATTCCTAAAGCATTAACGTGTCGTTATCGATCTAGTAAAATATACCTGAGCAATTCTACAAGATTGTGAGGGTTATAACATTCTTTACTCTGACTCACGGTAAATACCACTAAGCCAGAAGCTCGATAGATAAACCGACAGATAACATAACATGACACTATGAATCGTAGTCGTAATCAATTATTTACTGAAGAATGCTGTACAATTCGCTTTGTATTATGTAAATAACTGTGAGATTTACTTAATGTAAGTTTGATAATCAGACATTTTTTCTCCGAATATTAAAAAACAGAAAATTTTATTTTTCCGTAAATTATTTGACAGTAGAAAATATTACCTGAGGGACTGGAATCAGGATTCTAGGACTCTTTTATCAGCTTAAGACAAACGTCCAAGCCGCAATATTTTTCCACAAAATGTTTGTGGATTAAATAAGAATAAATTATTATGAGGAGGTTCTTTTTGGGATACCGCTTTAATTATTTCTTGGCCCATTACGCCACCAACTATGGCACATACTGGACTAACTTGAGCATAAAGATCTCCCCTGAAATTTCAAAAAAAATAATTTCTATAACTAAAATTCATTACAGACAATAGAAGCTTATTCATCATGATAAAAAAAAATATGATTGAAATTTAAGGAAAAATTTGTATTTGTACTTACTCAAGTAGATGATTAATACTATCCCCTAGATTATATTCCTCAATAATTGGTTTAGCTTCTTCCAACAATAGATTATTGTCTCGGTCACTGGGTAATGGATCTTTCCCATGTTTTTCACGATAATTTAACATAACTTGATAAAAAAATAAAAATAAATAATAAAGTTTGTAAGTTATTGAAAACTTTTAAAATAATTATAAACTTCATAAACTCACCTTGAAATAGGTGATAAACTTCAGAATCTTTAGGTAATTTCTTAGCATGAAGAATTTTTTCAAATGGTACAAAAACTTGTTTATTTTTTACGGTAATGACAAAACTTTCCATTCTTTGTTTGTTATCAGATGAGTCATCTGACTTTTTAGTTTGTGTCACATCCCTAGAACATTGTAAATTACGTTGACAATCGGTGGAATATTTTTATAATGATCACAAATGTAAAATTTTACTTACATGACATACTCATGAGTATTTAAGTCAGCGAATGTATATCCAAAAGTCCCCCATACATCTCCAGCGAAAAATTTAATGTTAAATTTTCTACAAATGTTATTGATCTTCTTTAATTGCGTAATTGTACATTCAGATGCACACACAACGTGAAAATTTTGGAAGTAGGCTTCAGGTTTGCTGTCAACCTCTGATTCATCAGCTTTTACATCAACCATGGAATTCAGATTTTGTGCTCTTGCAACAGATGCTTTTGCTCTCTATAATGATGCAATTTCAATTATATCTTATTTTTTAGGCATAATAGAATAATGTGGTATCAATAAAATATTAATAGCCTTACATTTTTTCCTAGATCATTTCTATCAACTAAAAACTGTGAACATGAATCCTCAGGCGTGATATTTCTGTGGTCTAAAAAAGTAACTGATTTAACACCAGCAAGAATGATATTTTTTGCTACTTCGGCACCAAATCCATTCATTCCAATTATAAGAACATTAGCCAGGCGTAATCTATAAATAAAATTGATTATAGTGTAACAGCATAATAATCAAACCGGTACAAATTTGAGGTTGGAAGAGAGTTACACAGACCTTTTTTGTGATTCCAATCCCCAAAGACGAATTTGTCTATCATATAACTCTGCCTCTGCATCAGTAAGCATTTCTGTACCATTTTTATCGTCAACCATTGTGTAGATACTGCAAAAATTGAGCCTAAAGAAATTTCTAATTTCTGCTACTTGTTGAGAGTTTGTTGTAAATATGGCGGTGACGCACAACAAATTATTCAAAATGGCGAATTAACAAACGAAGGCGAATTCAATACCGCAAGCGCCATCTAGTAGTTATAAATTTTTCCGACGCAAATAAAACTCTACAGTCGGTAATGCGATGAACATCAGTCGGTATTTTTGTTTCTATCGATAAAATAAAATTCTCTAACTACACAGCGTCAGTTGCTAGAGAGTTCTACGCAGTAAATAGTCGTTTGGAAACATCCCTTCCAAAAATGCATGTAAAAGCATAAAAAATCTTGTTATACTTTTATTAAAACTAAATAAATATGTAAAACTAATCTAGATGTAAATATTTTCTGTATAATTACTAATAATTAAGTTGTATTTTCCATGATGTTCAGGATAGCATCATTGACAATAAGATGCTACTGTCCAACATCTTTACTCCAATATCTATAAAGCTTTGTTTAAACATTATTTTAAAAAGAAACAAGGCATCTAATTGAATAATTGAGTTATTTACGTTAGTTTCTCTTAAAGTAATAAGTAATATATCAAATAAATAATATAGTTTTGAATGTCAGTATCAATATAAAGAAAAAATGGAAGTTATTTTTATATGTAATTCAAGTAGCTCAGATGTACGTTTTGAAAGTGATTTTTTAAGTGAATACAATTAATAATACAAACAATGACAACTCTATAATTAAAAGATACAAAAGTATTTGAGTGAAATGAATGTCATTTTTTACCAAGTCAAATAAATTACAGTTCTAACTAAGACTGTAACAGAGTTAGAAAGCCAGAGTTACTTCTGTTCATTGTACATGTTGATTTTGTGAAAGTGATGTGTTGAATCAAAGAAACTTATGACAAAACTATTGATGTGATGAAGAATAATCCATTCTATTTTTGATTTACAAGTGATAGAGGCCCTGATCTTTATTTCGGACTAAGACATTGTCTTCAGTGATGAACAGAATTTCATTTCAACACTGGTAAGTCTACAAAAAACTCTTTATATTACCAAACACTGACACATATGTCATCAGTTATGTGTATCACTATGTAAAATTGCACAATACTAAAAAATCTTGTAAAATATTCCAAAACTTCTGTGCTAAACAAGTTGACAAATGCGTTATGTAAATATTAAGAATGTTAGAAAGCAGAATAATCCAGTTGCGTGATCTGGTTCAATATTCATGAAGCTTTTTTCGACAAAGAGTTTTATTTAAAATAAAATGTTAATTTCTATTGAATGTCTTAGAGTAGTTTTGCAAAATAGTGTAAAATATGACTCATGTCAGACTATTACAATAGTATATAACTATACTCAAGCTACTGTTAGCTCTGGAATCATGAATGCAAAATGATGCAACCATAAAATTAATAGACATAATACAATATATAAAGAAATAAATTCATTAGTAGACGAGTAATCAAAAGGCAGCAAGAAAATAATTGATTATACTTTAATTTAGACATGATGTTGGTACTTTTATTACACTGTATTTTTGTAAAATATCGTGACTTGCCTCGAGGACACTTGTAATAATTTTATGAAATGAAAGGCCGCATTGCAAACTCTCAACTCTTTTGCTTTGCTAGGCATTTGTCTCGACGGCTAATTTATCATGACTCGTGACCTAGCCGGGTGTGTACTTCTATTACATTACTATTAGAGAAAAAAAAATGATAGAATAACTCCTACAGTTTGTTTGAGAGCAATAATCATTGAGCATTTGTATAATTCAACTGATTCCTTGGTGTGCAAGACGTAACAATAGCTTTTTAACCAACTTATCTTATCTAATACTTGTATTTCCAGAGATTCTACTAGTTCAAACAGTTAACGTAATATACTTGGCGTACGCCGATTTCTGTTCTGTTCTCTTATTATGTACTTTATATTATACAGTATACCAAACACGTTTGCAGACTAGAGAAAGTTATACCATTTAATCAGCCAACGGTCAACTATGACCTCAACTAGTTAAACTGCCGGCTTTCAACAAACTTTTTGCAATTAGATAAATTTTTATAAAATATTCATTCCTGGAACAGTAAAGTTAAGTTTGTCTTGAGTTTGATCTTTCAGGCGGTTTGAAAAAATAAATGTTCGTTTACTTGAATACTATTATCGTAAAACTGAAGTTTTAGACAGATAAAAATATGTTTTTGTTTCAGTGAAAAAAAAATTTCAATATAATTATAGTTCTGGTTGAATATATTTATTTATTCTTTTAAAAATGAATCACTCTTTTTCTCAACATTTTTTAAATTCATCACCCGGATTTCTCAACTCCCTCTGTACGCTCTATACCTCTTGAATCTTCCCACAATTACGCCAGATAAAAAAAGTTTAGGCTTTCGATCACGCGAACTCGCGCGTGGCGTGTTGTAAAGGAACGTGGAGGCGTTTTAACATTGCACGAGACTCCGAAACCTCTGACTTTGGAGCCTACGTCTACTTCTGAGAGACGTCTCTTGATTGTTGAAGAATCAAGTTGCATTGGAGTAAGAAAGAAATACAATACACTTAAGAAATTGCAGGTCGATCAGTACCTCTAATCGATCCTTTATCTTCTTTTCCTCTTGATCAGACGATAATCGAGATTGATAGACTGAAACTGTTTTTTCTTCTTATCTAAAATTATTCACAGACTATTGAACAGAACATCAGAGAATTTATATCATCACTATTTTAAATTATACTTGTCATGAATTACTAATGTTATCGATTGATTAATTATCTGATTAAAAATTTCTGACGCCCAAAATTCCACAGATTTTTTATTACCAGCTTTCGTCATCTAATATTTTTTTAGGAAAAAATGGACATCTCCATGGTCGCCCACACAATCCTCAATATCGTTGAGGTTGTATCATGAGTATTGTGAGTATTCCAAGACTTGTATGAGTACATATATAAGACACCAAACCGGTACAATAAGACGACTATTGACCGTTTATGTAGGCTCGTAGTCACGTGGAAATAAGGACGTTCACCGAATGAGACAATACAAGGCGTGGTCGTTAAAAATATACACTTGCAGAGTTGCAATAGTTTTCTAAATACTCGAAATTTTTTTCCCATTTCTTCAGTCAAGTCCTTAATGCTTCATTAACCCTTGATCAAAGTAACAGATGTATTCAAGCCCATTGTTTCAATCAGTATCCTTCAGTAATAAATAAAAACAAAAAGAAACTAACGTTTACTTGCTGTTGCATAAGTTTTTATATAAAATGTTGAATTTATTTGATCGAAAAAGCTAACTTAAAGTCAACTCTAGGATGGATTAAAATTTATCGATTATTTTGATGAAACTCAAGTTTGACAGCCATATCAGTAATCTTCAACATGTCAATGATAATAGTAATAAAGTGGATAAAGATTTATTACTATTGATTAAAACTTCAAGTGAAAGATTTTATTACATGTTTTCATTTTTACATCATTGAAAGTGAGTTCTCAGCTTCTATAGCGTGAGTTCAATCCACTAGATTCAAGATCAATTTACCCTAGACCTGGATGATTGAACTTGTTCTTCGAGGAAAAAAATTTTATAGCAGAAAAAAATTTTCACATCTTGGATTCATCAAGAGCATTGATCATTGGAAATCACTACATTGACATTGTCATATTGAAGCTTCATCAATGCTCAACACTGCTGCTAAATTACTAAAAATTGAATCAAACTTTTTTGGAACAAGTTGATGGTGATGTTTACTACTTGCCACTCAACCAACTCATCATGCAAGATTTTCAATTACTCTGGTCCCGCAAATTAGAATCCCTGAAATGAGAAATTACGTTTCGAAAGGGCTAATGAGTATCAAAGGTGAAGGACATTGTATATAATACCTTGTTGAATTTCCGGTTCTGTTGATTATTGTCGTTGATTGTCGTGTAACAAGAGATATAGTCTCTAGGAAGAGAAAGGACAGGAGCAAGGTCGCATACGACTGTACCAACTGTGCGTACAGACTCGTCGACAGCTGCAGCAGGCTTACACGGCCATCACATCTCCGCGCATACCGAGATGATCTTTCCGAGAAGTGCTTCACAAGTGAGACGGTTGACGAAAGTCCAGACACTAGGAGACCTTAAACTTGACTAAACTAATGACACACAAGTTACTTAGAATTTGTTGGATGATTCTTAGAATTTATTCTCACTTATGTCATGTATACCTTTGCATACCAGTCACTGCTTACTTTGCATATTTTTTTTTTTGCTATTACTAAATCACCACAGCTTGTTCATATTTTAGCTGGTGAAAGATTTATTCTGACACAAAGTGTCTGAAAGTTTTCCCGCTAAAAAACGATCGGTGATCTGTATTCAAAGTTCATCAGATTACTATAGCATCTACATATCTATATGTATACATACTTTCCCCTGCGGTGGTCATTAAAAATTTTAAACACTCTCTTGGCTTTCCTATCTGTGTCATTATCTTTCTTACTCAGTTCATTATCCTTTAAAGCGAATAGAGAATTAGAAAAAGGTTGAGAAATTTTACAAATTATCTAATTAATTGAGATAATAATCTCCACCGTTCGATCAGATACTTTCACAGAAACTCATCACAAAAAGGAGTATTCCTCCTGAAAAAATTTCAATATCATGACTTTATTATGCTTTTGTAGATTGACGAAAAAGTGAGAAGCTCTTTATAGTGTGCTAATTACTTAATTTACATAAAGGATAAAAAGTTTTGTTTATCAACAAACACAGGAATGTTATTGACCATTATGACAGTATATTTTTAATAAGCCCAATATTCATTATAATTAAAATTTGATTGAGTGTAAATATGTGTTTATAAATGGATATATGAACAGACAGACGTCGTGAAGCGTGTATGGCGCATCGATGATTATTGCAGCACGCCATGTTGGCTTCTTTCTCGTGTCTAACCACGCCAAGACGTTCTTTATACGAATGTATGTCCGTCTCCTTGACTTCGCACTTTGCGCGTATCGGGTATACTCGTTCCGCGTGACTTGTTTTCTACGCAAGA